CCGCACACCGCAGCAGACGACTTGTCTCTGCGCTTCTATTTACATAACGCATTACTTCATTAAACATATTATACCAACATGATAGCGCCATTTGTCCATCAGGGCACAAAAGTGTACTTAGTGAAAGAAGTGAGAGTATTTCCTACATCTTTCTTCTATCTTTACTATTCTATCTTTATCTTTATAAAGAGAGCAGATCTGATCGTTTGCATTGAATAAGCTTCGAAATCACCGAGTTTATTCGGTAATTATCACTGAATAAAATATTCTATATAAATATACATAAACGAGGTATGAACTGGAAGGGTTTGGATATGCCAGAAAAGATTTGAAACATATATTCTATGTAACCCAGGCAAAACTGGGCGAATCGCTAGTTACTTGTAATATTCACACACCATACTTTTTTAGAAATCATCACTGTTCTTAAGGAAATTCTTTTAGATATGTAAATACTACTGTTTATATTCCTAGTTGTAATGTAACATTTTCTAACAGTTAATATTATCTGTTACAGGTATGGTTCCAAAACAGAAGAACGAAATGGAGGAAAAAGCACGCCGCTGAAATGGCGACGGCAAAACGCAAACAGGAGGAGCTGGGCGAGGAGTGCGAGGGGGAGGAGGGCGGCGAGGGGGAGGGCTGCAGCGACGACGATGACCCGAAGCGGCCGCGTCTCGACCTCTTGCATCACATACATCACCGACAGTGACAGCGTTCACCTGCGCCGCGCAGTGAGGTGCATCGATTGCAAAATATCGATACCAAAATCGATTACGATAATCGATATTATCCGGGAGTTCCGAGCGAGCCGTGCGACCTGTCGTGGCCAGTGCGGGTGGCCAGTTGTGAGGGAGACGCGACCGCCGCCTCTGTAGACAGTGAACGTGACTTTAATGACGAAGACAGTCAGCCGATTAATTACGCGTATTACCATTTTTAGCATATTCCAGTGAAGTTTCGCTTTTATTGTCGATCTATATTGGTGTCCCCATCTTTTTGTTTATAAATTGACATGAATTTTAGTATAACTGCGTCTATAAATGTAATTATTTTAATTGTTGATTGCGTTCCAATAATTTCCCTACAGTCCTGTTCATCTGAGCGTCAGAAAGCTGTGTAATGTATAAGTGTGTAAATATAAGCATAAGTAGTAATGCCATATGTCTTAAGTAAATTATTGTAACTAGTTTTTACATACAAATATAATAAGTTTATTGTACATTTGAATTAAAGATTCCCGGTGCCAATTTCCTACGAGTAATCTGTACGCATTTACCTATTATTTCTAGAATTTTCCAGCTAAAGAGACGCAAATGTAGGTGACAATGTATTACATTAGTATTTATATTTGTAAATATTGAATTAATGAAAAAACCCTATTTGTTAAAGCGTACCGCAATCTGATGTATATTGTATTTGTTAAGGAATATAATTGTAAATAGATATTTAAACGAATTTAATAAATACTTTATTGTAACTGCACGTAATACCTTCACGACATTTTATATTTTAATTTAATATGAAATTTTCTACTACTACTATTTTATTTTCATTTTACTATATTTTGTTTGTAATAGAAACCTTACATTAAACCATTTAAAAAAATACTATTTTTGTCAAATACTTCTAACTTTTTGTTAACCTACGTATGTAAGATTCAATTAAATATTGTCTTTTTTAAACACTGACATCTATTGAGCGTTGGAGGTCTACGAAATGTGGTTCAAATAAATGGTTAGTAAAAATATATGTTGTGTTATTTCGCCTTTTCTAAATATCGAGAACTAGCTGTTGCTAGACTTTTCCCCCGAGAAATTACTAGAAAAATAGCCTATGTTACTCGTGGATAGTGTAGCTTTCAAATGGTGAAAGAACTTTAAAAAACGGTCCAATCGTTTTTGAGCCTATTCATTACAATCAAACAAGTATTTCATCTTTATAATATTAATAGTATGATTGACTAGCACACATTTAATTCTAAAAACCAGTTATCATACAAAGTTTAAACGCAGTTGTTTCTACAGTAATTGTATCAGTATATTGTCTGCTAGTACGTAACAAAACTGTCCCCTTTAGTACCTACTGTAACTTTTCACGACAAAGCATTTATCGAACACTCGCTCGTCTGAACTCATCTGTTATAAAGATGTGTACACACTGTTTAAACAATATTTAACTATTAAGTGTAAGTACGGAAGTGTTTAGCAAACTAAAGCACGTATAGATTAAACCAATCTAAAGATAAACACGGTAGAATATCATACAATGTATAAAAGATTTAACTCACATGTAAGCAGATAAAATCAATTGCAATATAAAAATAATATCCAACATTCTGAACGGTCATCGAAATATTTTTTCCATTTATTCCCAAAGCAAACGTGTTTCATGTTAGATCGTATCTTATTTCTATAACGTAGTGTGTACGCCGCCTTACACGTCTATGTGATTGGAAAACCTTCAGAGGCGATCGCGCCCCGACAAAAATCGAGACGCGCAGCCTCGTTGCCATGACAACCGACATCCGCTCCACAACATAAAACCAACTTAAATCCAAACAGATAGAGTTCAATTTGAAATGATTGTGTTGCTGTAAGAGTTTTCCTTGTAGTTATAAATGTAAAACAAGGTTTTACCGCTCTCGTCGAGGGTTGCCGGGCGAGGGGAGGCGTGGGGAGGTTCTGGAGAGGTGCGGGTTGCGGGGTAGGGGTATTCTTTCATTTGTTGTGGCTTGGGACGCGGGGTGCGGGCCGCGGGCCGCAAGCGATAAGGTGCGGCGTCTAGGTACCTTTTATTTATGACTCCATTTTAAACTGGGGGCGAAGTGTTACGCAATTCGGTCGGGTGTGATTTCCCGACGCCGGGGGATGCCGGGGGTGCGGGGGCACGAGGAGGCTTTAGCGGAGATGGTTAAATATGTGCACGGTGATATGTACCGCACTCTTTTCATGTCTTACAGCGTTAGTAACTACCGAGAGGTACGCTTCATATAGCATCGAGTCCTCAATTAGATAAAACATTTTACAATATTTAGCAGCAGTTAATATGAAGTAATTGTTATAAAAATAGATACCAATTACATACCTAAATCTAATCAGATTATTTGTCTTTTCCGTAGTTCTTTAAAGTTCTCGCCAACACTAGTGTAAGATACCAGACGCATCTAAACGCGGACAACATAAAGTGATGCGGTCAATATGATTAAGTGGTCAATTAAGAGAAATTAATTGGAATGACTGGAGATACGAATGTCTTAATAAAATGGATGGATAGGAGCTATAAAATGTAAATAAAAGCGCGGTAAAATGTCCCAGCACACGACGCGTCTTCAACTTTACTACTCTGACTAGGAATGTAACACACACATGTACACCTAACACTGAATATGTTTACATAGGCTTAAGTTTTATTATTCAGACTTACTATATTTTAAAACAGGAATAAACAGTTAAAGTAAAAAGTAAGAAATGCAATCTATTTAATTACGCTCTGATCTTAATATCTGGTCTCTAGATTTTAATCGAATAAATTGACAACCAAGGTTCGAATATTGTGAGCGATTGGAAATCGATTCAAACATTTGCCTTTATCGTAGGACACTAAACAAGGCCAGTAAAACACGTCAATAATAAACCGTTTTATAGCCTGTGATGCACTATAAATTAAGACGCGCGGCCGACAGATGGCGCGCCTAAAACAATGACGTAAAACAAATCATGTTCACGTGAGATGTTAGATAAAATACAAACAAGACTACGACCAGATTCAATATTACATTCCATTATTTGACAAGTTTTTTACTAGATTATTATAAACATTGACTTCTCTGTTAAGTTTTTAATAAAGAATTAGTAATTATTGATAGATTTACATTAGATTTGTGCAGTCGTAAAGTATATTGACACATTTACAAATTATGTCGTAAACGTTACGAATTATTTTTCGCAAATATTCGTAATAGGTCACTAGTTGGGTATGAATGGGGTAACAATAAATCTTTTATACGTGACATCTAGAGCACATGGTTAGAACATCAAAATATTTGGGGCATTCCATCGTCAGAAAGATCGGATGTCTTTAATACTGCTCGATTGGATAAAACAAAGGAAATAATCTTAATTTACCACTTGCAAATGCCTTAAAAGTACAAAACATGTTTAAATACTAAATGAATTGCTTGTAAACATAATTTCATCGTCTCAATAAATGATTTTGATGTAACATTAAAAATATATTGACAACGATTTTGTTGGGACGCTACAGCGGTATGCAATAAACTGTTTAATATATTTTTTTATATCTAATGACTATATTATGTCATAAAATATATCGTAAATGCTCCGTCCCACGTAAAAACATGAATCGAACTTATATTGAATTGTAAAACATGTAAAAAGCAATAATCGAGGAAAATGTAACACAAAAATATTAAAAGCGCGCGCACACCTGAAACTAAACTATCGCACAACTGTGTAGTCTCGCTTTGACACGTTTATATGGAGGTGCGCACACTACTCGATTTTTAGTTGTGCAACTAAACAGTTGAATTGGCTGCGAAACAATCGACAATCGCACAACAGTTATGTGATAGTTTAGTATTTAAGTATTTCTGTTAATTACTTTGAAAAGTGTAACCATGTGATATGGCATCATCATCACACCCGGGGTCGAGGCCGAGTCTACTCTAAGGGGTAACTAGGCCATAGTCAACCACACTCTCCCACCATGGGTTGACTTTACACATATTGATTTACTGCATAAATATGTGCATAAATATGTCATCACGATATTTTCCTTCACCGTAAGAACGTCAGGTAAATGTACACATGAAATCCTGTATCGAAAAACATCGGTATTGGAAGGATTCGAACCCAATACCTGCAGTTTATAACTCAAGTGCATAACACTTGAACCACCGACACTGAATTATACTAAACTAGCTTTCGCTCGCGACTCCGTCCGCGTGTAATTAAAAAAAAACAGTAGCCTATGTATTCTTCCAGACTATCCTCTACATCTTTACCAAATTTTATCGAGATCTATTGAGCCGTTTAAGCTACAAACTCTAACAAACATCCATCTAAACATTCACATTAATAATATTAGTAAGATTATATTATAGGTTATCTGAAAGGGCAATATCTTAAGTTAAATAATTTCATTAACTACAAAGCATTGCCACATGAACTTTCCCATACAAAGCGTATTTGACCTTGAAAGGTTTAATTGTTAACGAAAGTTCTGTAAAGAACTGATTCCTGCAGCTCGTTAACATTGTCGACAATAATCTTATATTAATATCAATCAAGTCGCGCAGTAAAATGCAATAAATGACAATTAAAACGCACCGGAGAGAACAAAGTACGGTCGATGTGCAGATCTGATAAAGGTGAATACTAACTACAGTGTTCCTAAAGGGTATATTTTTTTATAATATAAGGTGGCAAACGAGCAAGCGGCCACCTGAATCCACCGAAATGGAAAGCGACGGCTGCCCATAAACATCCGCAATTGCAGATGCGTTGCCTACCCTAATTGACGGAGGAGGAGATGCACATAAAGAGGACATTTTCCCTTCCTATGTGTCTCCTCCACCGTCAAATCCACTTTTCCTTCCCATCCTTTCCTCTTAAGAAAATGGTGAAAAGGGAAAGGGACTAAAATTGTATGTTTCAAAACAGCACAGAGAAATTATTTAATATTAAATTCATTGCTATTGTATAATGATAAACTTACCTTATTTTATTCTCTATCAAAAGAAAGTTCTTATATTTTGATAAACGTACAAAATCAAATATGGTGTAAGTGATGCTTGTAGTAAACCAGTGTGTTCTCACCTTAAGGCGTTGCATAAACTCGTGCGACGACTTAAACGTTCAAGTGAATGTAATTATATTTACTGCTCTTAAATCACTTTTAATAACTAATCAAGTTTTATAAATATAATCTGCTTGGTATTGTATAAGAAACCTTACTTACTATACAAATATTTGACTACAACCTGTTCCCCTGCGACTTCATCCGCATGGAATTATGAAAATTTTATTTCATTGTTTACATGTGTCAAATTATCAATTACAAATGACATAACATGGTGACAACCTTGCTTCCTTGATGTTGGCAGCAACTTATGGTCTCTTTCCCACATTAGGGTTTTTATGCAAAATATTTATGTTTAATGTCCTATGTTTAATGGCGTTAAAATATATAGCCTAAAGCGTGACGCTAGTGTAGGGCTTTTTATTAAAAAAAGAATTATTCAAAAATGTGCTGTAATTGCTGACATCTAAGGCAACAAAGAAGTGTGTGTTTATGCTTTATTATAATAGTATAGATAATACATTTTTAATTGTTTTGCAATTTAAAAAACATGTAGTTCTTAACTAGTTCGATGATTTCCTAATTAATAAAATAC